CCCCAAAACCCCAAAACCCCATGAGTGTTTGCTGATAGTTAAAGCATGAATAATGAAATCAAGATTAATCTAATTTTTTTAATTCTAAGGAGGTATCATAGTGAATGATTATATCAATCTACTTCACATTGTCATATATGCGAATATATCTTGCCTAGTGATTATTCCAACCAACTTATTATCAAGTTCACTTACAACTGGCAAGTGCCTCAAATTCATTTACCTGAATAATTCTACCACTTACTGGATAGAGTAGTTTGATTACACATTAAATGGCTTCTCAATCATAAATGCTCTCAAATCAATAACTTTATCATAGTTCTGCTCACAACAAAGTAAAGCCTTTTCCGAGAGAGATGGAACATGAGAATGGAAATTCATATTGAAATCTCTCCATGTAAGTGAATAGAAATCATATTAGTAGGACTAATCGCTGCCAAACGAACTTTCTTACTAAGTCTCCTCGTCTAGTTATTAGTACTTCTTATTAGCCTTTTACTTCTTGGTCGCTAGTTGATTTGGACTATCTTAATCCTAAGGTAATTCACCAGTACTCTGAATATCATTTTCGTCCAAAACAATTCTAGGTTTCTTGCCTTTATCATGAGGACTCTAGTCATTTACACTTCTTTTATCTCCACTATTGACTAATATGTTTGAAGATTTATCAGATCTGCTTCCTAGTGAATCCCTTCCCTCTGTCGAAATTGGAGTATCATTAGTCTTAACTCTCCAGCACTGCTTATTGAGTAAAACCACTAAATGCTATCTGCTTATAAGTCCAACTAGTCTTCGATCTTCACCCACAATTGGAAAACCATTAAAATCGTTACTTTAAATTGTCTCTATTATCTGTGAAACTGTTGGCTATATAGTAAAACTCTACACTGGAGAAGTCATCAGCTTACAAGCAGTGAGATCTTTGTTACATTAGGGAACTTCTTCAATTAGAAAAGGAATGTTCTTTGCTTTAAGTGACTCCACGTATAATGATCTATTGAAGAGTCTTCCGATTCCAAAAGATACGAATAAAGCTGAGATAATGGGTAGGAATAGCCCTACATTTTCAGTGGTCTCAAGCATGATAACTGCGAGAGAGAAAGATAGCCGAGTATAGCCTGCTAAAATACTGGCTGAGCCTATAATTGCATAAGTAGAGGGTCTGATGTCTCCGATTATTCTATTCTCAATGAAATGTCCAGTGATTCTACCAAGAGCGCAACCAATCATAATACCTGGTAAGAATAATCCTGCTGGCACTGATGATCCATAACTAAGAACTGTAAAGCAATACCAAATAACGAAGAAGAGGGTAAGTTATGCATAGTCAAATTATGCATTTTTACTTAGAAGAGCCTTAATGACAGTACTTTCTGGATTGAATAAAAAAGTGGCAAGAGGATTGTACTTTCCCTTATCGCATGCATATCTAATAAATCTAGCCTCAATATTTCCTTCTTCCTCTTAAAGACAGTCGTTATAAAGCATCATAGGTGCAAAATATATCACAGTGGCAGTCAAAGCTACTAATATGATTACTTCATGTACCTTTTTCCAATTATCAGTTAAGTATTTCTTTCTATATTGTGCCACTCTAAAGTTTATATTGATGAACATAGCACCGAGAAGACCTCCAAATACTCCGATTATCATAAAAAATGGCAAGTCATGCAATTTGTATGGATTTTGGTCATATTACCCAAATTTGATGAGACCAGCATTCATAATTCTCACATCTTCGCCTCTTTTATAACTGCTTAGAATATTTAGCACAAAAGTGCTGATGCTTGAGCAAAAGAAAATCTTCCATGTCAATCCAAATGACCAGAAAGTTGAAGGCCTAGAAATTTCATAAGCAAATAATGACCCTCCTATTGGTGAACCAAAAGCTGCGGCAACACCTGCAGCTGCTCCAGCCGCTGCTATTTCTCTCTTATCAGCATCATTTCTAAAGTAATCCATCATTGGAAGCGGAAGGTAAAGAGTGCAATGCCCTAAAATAGCACCAATATGAGCTAAAGGCCCCTCTTTTCCGATACATAATCCGGATGATACAGCAAGTCCGAGTCCAACAACTTTGACGAAGAGAGTGTTTAATCCTATAAACTAGGGATAGTTAATCCCGTTCAGATACCCCATTAGCTCTGGTGTTCCACCACTAGCTGCTCCCGGACCCATAAATACTGTTAGAATCGCAGCAGTCCCTCCGAATAAAAGACTGAATACAATGAAAGTAATCCATCCAAGCATAATACTGACATTAAACACTGTCTCTGTGATTTGCCATTTCCAAAGAGTGAGTTACTCAGTCAGTACATCTACTATAAAAGCAAATAGTCCGACAATTACTCCTAGCATTGAAAATGCTATCCAAGAATACAAATTGACCCACCATCCCATTTTACTCTAAGACTATGGTTTGGTCTTTAGGAATATGTTTGATCTGACCCCTTAAAAGTCAAGAGAGGATTTCTTTCTGTATTCATGGTTCTGCTTGGGGAATGACTAGACATCATCTTCATGGATGCTTCTCATTATTGAATTTTGAATTTAAAAGTTTATTAGTCATTCAAAAGTGAATCAATTATGTCTTACGGGGTTTTGGGGTTTTGGGGTTTTGGGG